CTGAGCTGTATAGGATATTCTACAAACACTGGGTCACTTCATTCGATCTATTGGCGACTGCTACGAAGCTGCGTATGCTAAGTAGTGACAGCTATTGACTGCTGCTCTATGGCCCTTGGTGTGGTACCTTTCGTATACAGTTATTTCTCCTGGAGATATCTGTGATACTCTCGGCACCTTGCTTTATACTCTAACTCTCAGTATTCCCGTTTGGTCACATGGCTGCTATGACTTTTCCTTTCCGGGTGTGATCTCGCAGTTGGGCTCTCCAGTAGGCTTCATGCTATTGCGCTTATATATCGGTTATACATGTTCAGGTGATAGCATTCGAAATATTCCTGACTTGGATTTGTCCAGGCCGCACGCCATTTATTTTGAAATCTCTCACAAAATATACAATAATGCACTCGTAGCATGTTATGCGATGTCTCTGAAGTGCTTGGTGGTCCATGTATTACAATGGGAATTGGCCTTATACATCCAGTAAATAACCCAGTAATTGAGGTTACTGTAGCGTAAAAAGACTTATATGTATATAGATTAGGTATAAATCCTGAATTTCTTGGGTTACAGTCCTAGAAGTCACCAAGAGCAAAAGCTAAGTACACATTACTTAATCATAACCGAGCCTAATTGCATAAACCCGCCGGCTATCAAATTTACCAGATCGAGAATCAAATCACCCAATCTAACATTTCTATTAATACCGTTATATGCTCTATTTAGCTTTTTCAATATGCAAGGTTACCCACGTTCTCGGTCTGCGTTCTGACCACCCCGTGTATAACCTGCTTGTAAACTCTTGGGGACCTGAGATATTTATGACAGTGCATCTCTGCGTCGTGCGGTTGGCCCCTAACCCATTTAATCTTTCCAATGGCCCCGACGCCTCAAGTCCCTTTCATTTTCTCTTTTATAATTAGATTCCTTTTATTCCATGGAATGATGCGGAGTAGTATGTCTATTGAGCTTTTCCAATGTTATGGCACATGTTATTTTTCCGACAAGTGGTTTCGAATTTGCCGTAGATTTAGATTGTCGATTGCAGAGGGCCGAGCGGTGTCATTGCAGAGTATCAATAATTGACCCAAGACCTAATAATCACCTCAACAAGGTAAACATCGCCCCCAAGATTATCCTTCTACTGATTGCATAAGACTGGATGTTTCACATTAGTAAAGAGTAACATTTTATTGATGTGTAATATATAAAAAAATCAGTCAAGAAAAATGCGATAGTGAGCCGTTCAACGGGGTATATTCACTTGCAACAATTGCCAAGCCAGACTTAAAAGATCTTGGCAGAGTCAATCTCTTGCAAGACACCGTTGATAGCAGCAACATTGGTGGATGAAACCTTACCCAGGGTACAAGCTTCACCGTACGTGACCAACATCTTACCAAAGTCAGCACTGCTGTACTTCTTGCCAATAGACCAAGTAGGAACGGAACCCTGGGTAAGCATCTGGAGCTGAGTAGTACTCTTCATGAGGGTTTGCAAGTTGGAGGCAGACAACTTCGTGTTTGACTTAGCCGAGTTACCCCAAGAAACCAATTGGGTACCGAT